GAGTCTGTTCAGATCTTCTGTTGCTTCTGGTCTGTGTCTCAAAAGATTGTATGTTTCTTGGAATTTACCCATTTCTTCTAGGTTATCCCATTTTTGGGCATATAATTGTAGTAGCATCTTATGATCCTGTGTATTTCTGCAGTATTGATCGTAATTTCTCCTCTTTCATTTCTGATCTTATTTATTTGGGCATTCTCTTTTTTTTCTTGATGAGTGTGGCTAAAAGCTTAGCAATTTTGGTTATCTTTTCAAAAAACTAGCTCTTAGTTTCATTGATTTTTTTTTTTTTTTTGGTCTCTATTTCAAGTATTTCTACTATGATCTTTAATTATTTTCTTCCTTCTATTAACTTTGGGTTTTCCTTGTTCTCTTTCTAGTTCCTTTAGGTGTAAAGTTAGATTGTTTATTTGAAATTTTTTCTTGTTTCTTGAGATGGGTATGTATTGCCATAAACTTCCCTCTTAAAGTACTTTTCCTGTGTCCCATAGATTTTGAACTGTTGTGTTCCCATCATTATTGTCTCGAGGCATTTATTTATTCTTTCTCTCTTGTCTCATTGTTTGTTTATTATTGTGTTGTTTAGCCTCCACATGTTTTTGGTTTTCCCAGCTCTCTTCATGTCGTTAATTTTTATTTTCATAGCATTTTGGTAGGAAAAGATGCTTAATATGATTTCAGTCTTCTTAAATTTATTAAGACTTGTTTTGTGACCTAACATGTAACCTTTCCTACAGCATGTTCCATGTGCACTTGAGAAGAATATGTATTCTGCTTTTGGATGGAATGTTTTATATATGTCAGTTAAGTCCATCTGGTCTAATGTGTTGGTTAAGGCCAGAGTTTCTTATTGATTTTCTGTCTAGATGATCTATCCATTGAAGTAAGTGGGTTGCTAAAGTCCGCTACTATTATTGTATTACTGTCATTTTCTTCCTTTATGTCTGAATTTACTTATTATTTTTCACCAAATCTAGTAAATGTTACCCATGAGTTGTCCTGGATAATAACAGTATCCTTTGATAGGCTGTTAAACACACAAGCAATGAAAAGCCCTTCCAGAAATAATTTTTAGTACTTACCTAGTTATTATATTCCTCTGAAAGGCAGTATAAACTCACTGTTAGAATGATCATTTTTTAATTCTTTTAACTTAAGATACAGTTGGCCTTGTATGAAAACATCCTTTGTATCTGATTACTAGAAGATATAAATATATATATATATATATATTTATGTATGTATGTACACACTTTTGAAAAATACACATGTGTTTTAGTTTGTTTCACCAAGTGATTTAGAGGTATGTAGTTCAAGTTTAAAATACTTACCATATATGATTGACAAGATGACAGTGCATTGTGATTATTTTCAACTGTAGTGTTAGGTCACAAAGATATTTCTCTTCTTATTTAGTATGACCTAATAGGCTACATTTTATTATCCAGACTATTTTTCTGACTCTTGGGGGAAAAGAAATAGGACCAAATAGTCAAGTTTCATTATCTGTTGACAGTGATAGACAGGAAGCACATGGATAACTAAACCCATTGTCAAATACAGCCTGTAAAACTACAGTAGGCAGGATTTTCTACATACTCCTTCTGAAAGCCTGTTGTTAGAGTTGCTACCGAGAGCTGAGATGGTATATTTGAATTTCAGTTTTATTTTCTCTTCTTGCCCTAACAAAGATATTAATGAACCATGAGTTGAGTCAGAACCTTGGAGTGTTTACAGCTAGACGATCCAAGCTCAAGCACCCCTGAAATACTAGTAATTGGACTCACATTAAACTTACTGCATGTCTTACATTCTTGTTGGGTCTGGACTGCCACTGATTTGTGTTCAGACATGAAACTAAAGGGAAGTTGTTTGAAAACATGCTTCCTCAGTGAACAGAACCTTCCATACATTCTCTGCAGAGTCAACAGTGAAGCTAGAGAGTTGATTGTGGTTTGATAAAGCACATTTGTGACTTTCTAATTCTACTCCCAAAGAAAGCTCAGAGTGTGTTTTCCTCTGAAAACTATCCTGGTCCAAGGAAGGATTTGACCACACCCATTCCTAATATTTGCAGGACCTGAAGCAGGAGTAAAAATGGAGGCCATGAGCCATGCATCTATGTTTAGTGCCGTGAATAAAGCTCTCAAGCTCTTAAATAAATGTGACCTGCCCTCCTTTCTTGATAATACACTGTCAGTAATGTCCCGGAATTTAGAATTCTTGGATTCCATGAGGTTTCATGTCAGAGCATGACATTGTGGGCACTTGACTCCTCGCCAGCCTCCCTTTCCTTTTTGTCCTACACATCGAAATTCCATCAGGACACCCCTAAAACTACTGCCCTTGGCCACGCCCAGGGTAAACATAACTCCTCAAATTCTAAGGATAATCTCTGAACACACAGCTATGAAGCACTTAAAACGATTCCTGTATTCTCCCATATTCTCATGGTCTTCCGTAAGTCATTGCGGGTTGAATGGGAAATGATGATGATAATGGCTGCTGGTTATTAGACCTACCAGACATCAGTGTAAGTTCTTTGCATATTTTATCTCAGTTATCAGCACTTTCCCTTCTTGGGGCTAAGTATTTCAATAAAGCAAGACAATATATACATATTTCTCCCAATATATACATATATGTATACATACACACACACATATACACACACACACACACACACATTATTTTAGCTGTTGTTATTTTGAGAAGTATGTTTTCAAAGTTACCTTCCTTTCTTTCCTCGGTGTAACATTTTAGAAAAACGCTACCTTGAAACAAAGCAAAATTCAGGAAACAAGAGCCTAGCTTGGCCACAACCTGTAAGTATCCATACAGCAAATCAGTTGTCCACATACTAATTCAGTCTTCAGTCCCTCCTAACATTTGGACTGGGGAGAAAATAATGAACTTGCCTTGATTTTCCTTAGGGTAAACTGAGGCCTGCCCTCTCCCTTTAACTGCTGTGAGGAAATACAGCACTGCTAAACAATGCTGATTTCAACCTTTGAGGGTTTAATGATGTGTGTCAGCCTACTACTTTTTTTTTTTTTAATCATTTAAAGGATGGGGCTTTAAAGCAGCTTTGTGTCCTTATTCATTTTAAAGCTAAACTACTTGGGTGTTACAAGAAAAAAGAAAGAAGTGTGGAATTTGATCCTCTGTGCCTTGGCTTTTTTGAAAAAGGAGATGCCATTATCTGAACATATCTGGTAGCACAGAACCTGCTTGGGATTCTCTTTCTCTCCTTCTCTCTGCCTTTACCCTGCTTGCACTGTCTCGGTCTCTTTCAAAATAAATAAACTTTAAAAAAAATGGACAGTAAAAAAAAAAAGATAAAGCAAAAGGGAAAAAAGTAGCCATAGAAACTGAGAAGTAGAGGGCCACCTGGATAGCTCAGTGGGTTAAGCATCAGACTTCAGCTCAGGTCATGATCTCGAGGGTCATGAGTTCAGGCCCCAGATTGGGCTCTGTGCTGATGGCTTAGAGCCTAGAGCCTGCTTCTGATTCTGCCTTCCTCTCCCCTCTGCCCCTCCCCTGCTCATGCTAGGTCTCTCTCTATATCAAAAATTAATTAATTAATTAAAAAAATAAAAGAAATTGAGAAGTAGAATTAAGAGAATGTTAGAAATGATCACAAGTGATTAAGTACATGAATTAATGTCTGTTTTCAACATTTGTCCAGTTCTTCAGTTCCTGGTGCCTGTTGTTTTTTTTTTTTCAATGTTATTTATTTTTGAGAGAGAGAGCACGAATGAGCGAGGTAGGGCAGAGAGAGAGGGAGACACAGAATCCAAAGCAGGCTCCAGGCTCCGAGCAGTCAGCACAGAGCCCGACCTGGGGCTCGAACTCACAAACCGCGAGATCATGACCTGAGTCAAAGTCAGACACTTAACTAAGTGAGCCACCCAGGCACCACACCCGCACCCCCACCCCGGTGCCTGTTTTATGTCCTGTGAGCACACCCATCAGGGTCTGAGTGGGTAGCACATTCTTGGCTTTCTCTCCTTATTAACTTTCACTTCCCAAAGGTACCTTGAGTAAAGAGACAAACCATAAGAGACTCTTAAATACAGAGAACAAATGAAAGGGTTATTGGAGGAGAGGTAGGGAGATGGGCTAAACGGGTGATGGGCATTAAAAGGACACTTTTTGCGATGAGCACTGGGTGTCGTATATAAGAGAGGAATCACTGGGCTCTGCTCCTGAAACCAGGACCACACTGTATGTTAATTAACTTGAATTTAAATTAAATAATAATAATAAAGTCATATTTAGCTGATCTTCAGAAACTGCTCAAAGTGATGATGCCTCAGTTTACAAAATCACCCAAAAGCGGGGTGAGGTGGGCTGGATTACCGCCTCACTTTGCCGCCCCATCAGGCGGATGAGCACAGCACCCAGGAAGGTTTCCTGTCACATCTGGGCACAAGGAAGGAGCATGTTGCAGTCTCCGCTTTGAAGCTGTCATGTTAATTGCTAAGTTTTGCTGAGTCTGTACATTGGGAAAGGTAACTATCTCAGCATGTTAAGATCATAACTGCGAGATTAATGCTTAGAGGCAGCAGCTGCGCTGACGGGAGGCATTAATGCCTGGATGAGTTCAATCAGATACGCCGCCCCCAGTGTCTTTGTGTAATGGTATTTACTCGATTTCAAATGGACTGCTGAGAAAAATGAAATACCATCTCATGTATCTCGGTCTGGGGAAAAAAAAAAGATAATGAAATTGTTCTCTTGCCGACTTATATTTTATTAACCTTTGTGGAGTCAACTTTAAAGAACAGATGTCCCGCTAGAGTTGAAACCTTTGGCTAAAAGTAGAGCATGATTAAGTGCGTTTGTGAGTTTTAGGAATCATGGGGTTGAGTGGAGCAGGTGAGTGTTTTTCTAAAACCACTCAGAGAATAAGAGCCATCTTCTGGGGCCAGAGAGGGGGAGAAAATGCAGTGCGGTTGTGTACAACGGATTTCTTTCTTCTTTCTTTTGCTTCCTCGCAGAGCGTGGAGAAAGTGCTCGTGGAATTCAGTCACCAGGAGTTGTTTGATTTCTATAACAAGGTCCGTATTTTTTTAAACAATTTCTGCCGTGTGGGGTTTTGCATCATGTTTCCTTCATTTTTATGAATCTTTATTTTTAAATGCCCTGTTGTGGTGCTAAGTTCTTTAAACATCCCTTGTAAACACCGTATGTTTCACAGCAGGAAGCCTTGCCGGGATGAAGAGAATCTGACACCCTAAATCAGGAAGAAAGTGGAAATTGTTTTTATTAAGGCAATAGGATTATTACTTTAACGTAAAGCACTAAAGAATGAACTTTGTGGTACCAAGCCACACTGGCACTTTAGAATTTAACATTAAATATTTTCATTTCTGGGCCTAAGGAAAAAGGGAGGTGCCAGGCCTGTAAAGATTTATCTTTGAGTGTATGTTATGTTTCTTTCCAAATACTGACGTTGTAATCCAGAGAGATGCACCCCCCTGCCACCTTCTCCCCTGCCTTTAAAAATCTTGTGTAGTGACAGCTTAAAACAGCCGAGTGTATTTATAACTGTATTTAAATACCGTTTTTTTTTTAAGTTTTACTTTTTTATTTTTGAGAGAGAAAGATAGGAATGAGTGGGGGAGGGGCAAAGAAAGAGCTGGAGACAAAGAATCCCAAGCAGGCTCCAGGCTCTGAGCCATCAGCACAGAGCCCTATATGGGATTCAGATTGAGGAGCTGTGAGATCATGACCTGAGCCAAAGTTGGGTGCTCAACAGACTGAGCCACGCAGGCACCCTGGGCTTTTTTTTTTTTTTTTTAATGTCTGTTTATTTTTGAGAGAAAGAGCAAACATGCACAAGTGGGGGAGGGGCAGAGAGTGAGGGAGACAGAAACCCAAGCAGGCCCCAGGCTCCAAGCTCTTAGCACAGACCCTGACATGGGGCTCAAACTCATGAACTGAGACCATAACCTGAGCCAAGTCAGATACTTAACTGACTGAGCCACCCAGGCTCTCCCAAACCGTATTCAGAAATCCTCCTTTACAGGGGCGCCTGGGTGGCTTAGTCGGTTGGGCGTCCGACTTTCGCTTAGGTCATGATCTCGCAGTTCGTGGGTTCGGGCCCCTCGTCAGGCTCTGAGCTGACTGCCAGCTCAGAGCCTGGAGCCTATTTCAGAGTCTGTATCTCCCTCTCTCTCTGACCCTCCCCTGCTCACGCTGTCTCTCTCTCTCTCCTAGAAATAAATAAAAAATATTTAAAAAAAAATCCTCCTTTACAAATATGAAAACTTAGACTGCAGGCATGAATCGTAATATCTTCACATAAGAAGAAGACCCTTCTGCGCGCTTCATCTCTTGCTGTGTGAATGCATCTAATATGCATGGTTGCCACTGCCATTCTTTCCCTTGTGTTTGCAAGTTTCTGAACAAACCTTCACAGCATTTCTCTCCTATCAGCAACTTGTTCTCTTGTTTTGTCTTTATGAATAGCTGGAGACCATACAAGCACAGCTGGATTCCCTGACATGACTTCCTCGAAGAACGGTTTCCCCACCACACTCCTGCCACTTCATCATCCCGCACTGAAGATGGACTGCCAGGTTGTGTTTTCAGAAGGATTCAGTAGCTTTCTTCTTGTAAATTACACAGCTTATCACTTCTTAGAGAAATAACTGCCCAGATCATTGTTTTGAGAGCTTCTAATACACATCCACTCGTTTTTTGAGCCAACGGCAAACAGTTGTTAACAGTACTCTCTCTTTAAAGGAAACAGCAGTGGGGGCACCTGCGTGGCTCAGTGGGTTAAGCATCCGACTTCGACTTCATCTTAGGTCATGATCTCGTGGTTTGCGAGTTCGAGCACCACATCGGGCTCTGTGGTGACAGTTCGGAGCCTTGAGCCTGCTTCGGATTCTGTGTCTCCCTCTCTCCTTGCCCCTCCCCTCTTCATGCTCTGTCTTGCTCGCTCGCTCTCTCAAAAATAAATGAAAGCATTTAAAAATTTTTACGAAAAAAAATAAAGGAAACAGCAGTAAATACTATACTGTTTTTATTGTCTTGTTTTTGCTTTATTGCCTGACCTGTTTATATTTTACATTTTTGATGACACCTTTATGTAACAAGGAGGGTTCACAGATACGCCATGGGTACAAAGTATAATGTGTATCTTGGAATACAGAACTCCCCTATCTACATTAGCCAAAGCAAGAAAGGAGACAAATGCAATCAGATACTTTTTTCCTTGAATATAATGAGTATGTTTTGCTTGGGAAGTAACATAGGAGAAAAATTTAAAGTAGAGCTGGTAGTGGTATATCAGTTAATTCCAGTGTGAGCTTCTCTGTGCAGTTTAATTTTTTCTCTGAGTGTAATGATTTAATAATCTAGGTTTTTGTGTGCTCTTCTTTGTACTGCAGATTAATAATATTTCCCTTCATAGTATGGAAGACAGATTCAGATCATAAGTAAAAACAATTGTAATGAGTGTTAAATGGGTTTCCTTAAAATTTTGAAACAGATACCTTTTGCATTTTCTTTCTGTAAATAGGTTAGTCAGTTTTAGTCAATAAAATGTCTGTTTCTTAGAATTAGGTGAAGTCCACAGTATTTTATGCTTTGACCATATATATGTGTGAGTATGGTTGCCTGTAAAAGCAGTACTATCAGTTGAAGTTTCTATGAATGAAATACCTGTTCTGTATTATTCCCCAAGAGACAGAGGGAGAAGAGGAGAGGAGAAAATGAGAGAGGTCTGTGTCTAAGTTGAGTCAAGCATGACTTTCTATATAATTATTTTTATAAGTTTATTTATTTATTTTGAAAGAGCATGAGTGTTGGGGGGTTGGGGGGGAGAGAGAAAGAGAAAGAGAATCCCTAGCAGGCTCCATGCTTTCACCATGGAGTCTGATGTGGGGCTCAAACTCACGAACTATGAGATCATGAGCTGAGCCGAAGTCAAAGCCAAACACCCAACTGACTGCGCCACTCAGGCACCCCTAAGCCTGACTTTCTTCATATATGAAGGAATTTGATTTCAGAAATGTCCTGTGGCTAAAAAGAGCCATTAGCATTAAATCACATTCCTTATGTGAGGTGTCTGCATAACACAAGTGTTAAAGGTCTCTCAAATAAATGTTTGGTATATGGAATTTATGCCCTTATTTATGTGTGTGCTATGTGTTGTTGCTTAGAAGAATTGGGAGTTTGGATTATGTCAGGAAGTAATTTATAGTTGCTGTCCATGGTTGATTAATTTGAAAAGTTTTTTAACTTTATGTTCCATTGATAAGATATCTGGAAGACATGTTTATAATATAGTGGCATTTATTTCCATATCTAGCTTATGGGAGCCTCCTTATTTTTCTATGCTGTGTTCTGCCACTTCCAGAGGGAACTACCTGACTGCTTAAACATTTTGGTAAATATTCTTTCCGACTTCTTATATACAACAAAACATACATCATCTCAAGTTAAATCTGTTAGGCCTTCCTGACAGTGACCATATGGCTAGGTAGAAGTTTTCATTGGTTTAATGGCCAATTTAACTCCCAGCGTAGGTATCTAAATTAAATGTGACGTTCCAAAATGAAATTCTCGATTAGTAGCTCATAAAAGACCTGTTTTTATACTCTCTAAGAGTATATCTCTACTTCTACAAAAATGTGGATGGTAGTGTTCTCTCCATGACTCTAGTGCAAGAAAGTCTGACCAAAGACATTGAAGAAAGGACAAGTAGAAGGCGTAATTCCAACTGAGAGTATAATTCTTCCTGAAATGCATTTTTTTTTTAACATTTATTCATTTTTGAGAGACAGAGCATGAGCTGGGGAGGGGCAGAGAGAGAGGGAGACACAGAACCCAAAGCAGGTTCCTGGCTCTGAGCTGTCAGCACAGAGCCTGACATGGGGCTCAAACCCGCCAACTGTGAGATCGTGACCTGAGCCGAGTTGGACGCATAACCTACTGAGCCACCCAGGCGCCCCTTCCTAAAATGTATTTAATTGCAGATCTTTTCTTTCCTTAAGTCACCACCATTGTTAGGATACACAGGTCAAAGAAAATATCATTCCCAAACAGGATTAAATACATACTACTTTTTCACAGAAATAAGATGGGTAGAAGGACAATGGGAACTGAAATGTCTTCTCTTAGCATTCTCGTGTGAGTGCCTGGCATAAGTATTGAATACAGATAGAATTACTTGCTAGAAAGGAACCAATGTACTATTTTTACACCTACTGCAAATAATATCTGCAGTTCTTCAGTCATAATTTGTGATTATTCTGAATTATGAAAAACCGAAAATAATAAAGAAGTAACATAAAATTATAGAATCATATTATCCGGAATGGCTGTTAAAATGACATTTTGGTAGGTTTTATTGAAGTGGGTTTTTTTCCTACCCATATATCTTTCTCATTCTTTTTTCTCTTTTTTTCTTCCTTTCCTACTACTTTGGAATAATGCCATAAATACAGTTTCGTACTTTGCTTTGCTTCTGTAACATTCTACATGGACATTTTTCCTGTCCTTGTTATCGAAAACATAATTTTAATGTATATTAAATAGCCCACCCTGTTATCCAATCTGTTGGACATTTAGACTATTTCCAGTTTGTTTGTTTGTTTGTTTTTTACCATAAAAAAACTCGTTTACATAAAAAACTCGTTGGTGCATATCTTTATATCAATAACCCCTACACTACATCTGTCATTATATTAGTATAGATTAATAGGGGTGGGATGATGTAAAAAGTATATCAATATATTTTCCAGTTATATTTAGTGGTATTTTATTATAAAAATAGTAATTGCCCGTCAGAAAAGAAAAGTTCCTGTTTTGCCTTCTCACTCCCCACTTCCCAGAAATGCCCACCTAACTACTCAGAAACATTTGGTCTATATCTTTTCATACATCTTATCTTTGAACTTCACACACACACACACACACACACACACACACACACCTTTTTGTGTATGTTTTTATACGCTTCTTTTCATTTTAAAGCCATTCTTGCATACTGATAAATTCATCCCCAAAGGCCCCACACAGAAATGAGAGTTCACCTGCCTCGAGAAGCTCATGACCCTTTTCCCCTCCTGCACAGTTCCTTCTCCACATTCTTCTTCAACTGGGGCCAGGTTTGGGAAGAGTGTGGGTTGAGAGAGGGTTGGACACTGGAAAGTCACTCATTACTTGGCTCTGTCACACTTGATGACTAGAAGGCTTGAAGAAGGAAGCTCTTGTAAAATCAGCGAGTGTAAAGCCACTGGCACAGTAAGGAAGTGTCAGGGCGCTCAAGTCAGACATTGGTTTCCTCAACAGTGTTCACCGAGTGCCTATGATTCTAGAAAATTTGCATGGTGGCAAGGTATTAACGGTGATGAGCAAAACAAATTTGCTTACTGGTTTCTTAAAGTGGAATAACCAGTCTTTAAAAGGAAGGAGATGTAATACATTGTGAAGAAGTGTGGGCTGAAAAAGAATTGGCTTCTCTTAAAAGAAAATCAAAGATAGGACCCTACTTGGATTGGGGCATCAGGGGAAGATTCTCCAAGGAAGAGAGATTTGAAAGGAGTCCTGTGGGGCGAGGTAGGACAAACCAATAGACAAACAGAGGAAGCTGACAGAAGAAAAGAGTGGAAGGCATTCTAAACACAGAGTGGCCCAGGCAGCGTCCCAGAGATTGAAAAAGGCCTAGCACATTCCGTGAGGCAAAGAAGCTCAGTGTGGCCAGAGGGTTGTGAACAAGGAGAGAGTAGAATGTGTTACAGTTAGAGGTAGGCAGGTTAGAGAGGTGGTGCTCTCACTTCTGTCATCAAAATGTCTTGCAAATATATCTCCAGGATATGGCCTTTCCCAGACTACCCCCATCTTTGTCCTGGACTACCTTGCATCCGTCTACCCCCCACCCCCAAGTCCATTCTTCACCCAGAGCTGATATTTCACAAACATCAATCACATTAATGACACCGTCTCTCTGCTTAGAACCTTTCAAAGGCGTTCCATTAGAGTTCAGATAAAACTGTAAGTGCCTGGACCCTGAGGGCTGACTAAGAGTCATACCCTCGTCCCACTACTTTTTATGGTGCTAAATTTACTCTTGCTGCGTCTCTTCGTCTTCATAATGGGAATAGTAATAATATAAATATCATGGGAATGTTAAGTAGATTAAATGAGAGAATTCAAGCTAAACAGCATAATTCCTGATTTGCAGTAATCACATCGTAAATGTTAGCTGTCGTTTTCATAATCACAAAGAAAATGACCAGGGTTTCTATTGAAATTGTTCCAGGTGGGCTGGAATTAAAGTCAAAACTACAGATATCTTGCTGTGAAGACCCTTCCCTTTAAACTTATTTAGAGTTCTTGGGGCACCTGGGTGGCTCAGTTGGTTCAACATCCAGCTCTTGCTTTCAATTCGGCTCATGATCTCACAATTCGTGGGTTCGAGCCTCATGTCAGGCTCTGTGGTAATGACACAGAGCCTGCTTGGGATTCTGTCTCCCTCTCTCTTTGCCCTTCCCCTGCTCATGCACGTGCTCATGTGCTCTCTCTCTCTCTCTCTCTCTCTCAAAAGTAAACATTAAAAAATTTTTAAATAAATAAATGTACTTGGAGCTACAGTAACAACTGTATCCAGTGATCACTGGATTCAAACAGAATGCTAATCTGTCTTCTAATTTTTTTAAGTTTATTTACTAAAGAGAGAAAGCATGAGAGGGAGCAATGGAGAGAAAGAGAGAGGAAGAGAGAGAATCCCAAGCAAGCTCTCCACTGTCAGCATAGAGCCCGACATGGGGCTTGATCCCACAAACTGAGATCATGACCTGAGCCTAAATCAAGAATTGGAC